TCCCCTAAAAAACGTTGCCAGCAATGAGATTATTGTATTAAAATGTATAAACCAGCACATAAATTTGAACTCTCTCTCTTCATAGGAATCCACTATGTATATAGTAAGAGTCAGATAATTACTATTCATTAAATGTCATTCCATGGAGTTTATAATCTCAGGAAAACAGTAAAATTTGTCCTAGGGAATCTTAGGGGAAAATATTAATAGAAGTTCATATCTTAAAGGAAATGAAGATCTTGGTCTCCTCACCACAGTGGGAAGGTCAGTAGGGGTGACCTCCCGGGTCTTTCCAGCTTTGCACGTCTATGACCCAACCACTCCTCAGACAGCCCTCCACCCCCACTACAAAGCCTCTGTCCCAGAGGGGGCAGGTTCTTCCCTCTTTCCCAAACATGCCCCATCTTTGATGTAAGAATTCTGCTCACCTCATCCTTTCACTTTACCTCCCCCTGGAAGAGTCTTTCCTCACCCTGAGAAGCAGTCATCACCCAAAAGTTTAAATCTGACCCCTTCCTCCAGGCTCTTTCTACCTCCTGCATTTGAATTAATGCATCTTTGTTCCCAAAAATCTAGTGTGCACATAAGTCATTTAATTTAGCTGGATCTGTGGTCACATTAACAGAAATCTATATTAACTGAAGGCACACCAGGCTATGATTTTAAAAAACAACACAATACAGGTTTCTGCTGCATCAATCTCAACATTTTTACTACTGACCAAGCTGACATACAGAATCGGATAGTTGATATAACTCAAGGTGAAGGTCATGTCATAAAATGTTTAATAATCCATGGAAATATTTAAAAAATAAAGTATGAATACAGAGAGAATGTGCATCAACATTAGAGTGTTTTTCCTTTTCTTTAACCAAGCCCCATTTATAAAGTGCTTTGAATTTCTTAAAATTTCATTTCTTCTTCCAAGTTTAACCAACTCTTTTTTACCAATTTAATTATTATCTGGAGATTGGGATAAGGGAACTAAATTTTGCTTTGGATATAGAAGACATATTCTAGTCAAACAGAGCTACCAGAATGAATCATCTCTACAGAAAATAAATTAATATCCTTTCTTTCTTAAAAAAACAACAAAAAACACACCCCTGTAATGTTAAAAAAAATAAAATAAAATAACAACAACATACTTTACTAGTAAGGTTTAAATTCTTAAAATAATTCATAATATGATAACAGAGCATATCCAAGTGGAAAAGGCAGTGGGCATAGCCAGTACTGGGTGAGGCACTAAGCCATGAGATTATCATATTATAACATGGAGAGCAGTTGCAATGCCCTGCCACCATGCACTACCAGCTCTCTTGGGTGTCATTTTCACCCGCAACTTACGAGATTTTCCGGCTTGAAGCCTCATCATCAGTGTGAAAACTGAAGCTGCTCCAGAGGCAAGAGGGAGAGAAGCAGCTCTGGTGGCATTTGAACTGAAGATACTCAGGCAGAGAAACCAATCTGGTGGTGGTGTAAGAGATGAATGGAACCAGAAGAAGAGGAGACAGTAGGATCAGAGGAGGAGTAGACAATGAGAAATGTGATGGCAGAATGAAAAAAGAAGGGCAACTAAAACAAAGCCAAAAGGTGAAGCAATGTGGGGATCAGAGAGAGAAAGGGGAAAGAGGGAGGAGGAGGAAGAGAAAAAAAATGTAAACAACCTTCGGGTATATGAAAAGCAACATGTACCATATGCCTGTACTTCTGATGGCTATTTTTATAAATCACAGATGCTAGCAAATGACCAAATACAGAATTAGAATCTAGGCACAACTCCATGAACGTCAAGAGCTGGAATATCATTGATATGCACTGTTTAAAAACAAAAATCAAAGCTTCAGGTCAACAAGTTTCTTGAAAGTTACTGCCATATTGATTCTCTTGAGTGACTAGAACCTGGGGAGGAAATTCCGTTGTTCTGTTCCTGAGTCTGAAACTGTTCAAACACAAAGAGAGGAAGGTGATGTTGGATTTTTAGTTGGTCATCTTCAAGCACACCTGCCAACCGTAAATGCCACATACTTCTGGAGTTCCTCAGAAAAGCATTTCCATCATGTCCATCTCTCTGCATTTTTGGTCTATTTTTCCAATTTAAAGTGAATTGTAGCAGGTTCTACCTGGATCCAACCAAGAAGTAAATCAGAAATTGATGTCCCTGTACCATGCCTTACAGGGGCCAGGATTACAACTCTCCTTGGACCTGGGATGTTTCCCACATTTTCCTGACTCTCTCACTCTACAAGAAACAACATGTGCTCCTCAATCAGTCTTTAATCATTCTAAAACAGGCATAATAAATTATTAATCAAGAAATGAATCCTTGTTAGGGTAGAGCTAGCCAATAAATAGTCCTTTCTAGGTAAGAAATGATAGAAAAGCACATCAAAGTCTAATTTGTCCATTAGATCCCTTACATATAGTTATAACTACACTAATGGTAAGAATTTCCATTCAAGTACCAACGTGGTTAGGAAATTCTTTAGGCACAACTGCCTTTCTTCAGCTTCCAAATCAGCCCACATATGTCCCTGTCTACATGTAAAGTTGATGTAGACTAGCAGGTTATAGAGCCCTTGGCCTAATGCAAATACCAGGAGATGAATTAAGACCCTGTCTTCATTATTATTGAACTAGAGGCCCAGTGCACAAAATCGTGCACGTATGGGGTCCCTTGGCCTGGCCAGCAATTGGGGCCGATTGGGACCATTTTGCCCAGTCTCTATCAGAGCCGATGAGGGCCGGCCAGCTGGGGAGGGGCACAGGAGGTTGTCCAGCTGGGGAGGAACCACAGGGCATGTCTGGTCTATCTTGTCCAGCCCTTATTGGTCAGGCACCAGCAGTAAACTAATCTATAGGTTTGAGCATCTCCCTCCTGGTGCTCAGTATGCATCATAGTGACTGGTCAAAGAGTCTTCCAAAGAGTAGCCCTATTGGTCAGACACTTAGCAAATTATGTATATATATAGATCACTAGAGGCCCGGTGCATGAAATTTGTGCATTGGGGGAGGGAGGTGTCCCTCAGCTCAGCCTGCACCTTCTCCAATCTGGGACCCTTCGAGGGACAACCCTCTTACAATCTGAGACTGCTGGCTTCTAACCACTCACCTGCCTGCCTGCCAGATAGTCCCCTAACCACTCCTTTGTTAGCCTGATTGATACCTAGCCGCTTCCCTGCCTGCCCTATCACCCTCAACAGACCTCCCTACAGGCCTGGTTGCCCCTAACTGCCCTCCCCTGCTGGCCCTATCACCTCCAACAGCCCTCCCCTGCAGGCCTGGTTGCCCCTAACTGTCCTCCCCAGAGGCCTGGTCACCCCCAAGTGTCCTCCACTGCAGGCCTGGTCACTCCCAACTCCTCTCCCCTGCCAGTTATCTTGTGACAATGTGGGAGTGGCCATCTAGTGATGGCCATCTTGTGATGACAGGGGTGGCCATCTTGTGACATGAGGGTGTGAGGGCCAATCTGCATATTACCTCTTTATTATATAGGATTCTAAACCCATTAATATTTTTGGCATTTCCAAATAAACAAACAAAATCTGAAAGGTTGATTGGAAGCATCATATTCAAACATCAAATCCTTCAGCAGAACTGAATTTCATTAGAGACTTTAACTTTCCACGACCAAAACCCAAGTCAAAGGGACTAGAAGTGATTAACAGGCTAACAGACATGGAAAGCCTGAAAGTCCCACATTTGTTGGCTGCACCCGGACATGTGACTCAACTGCAATGACCCGGCACCCACAGTGACCTTAAACACTGACAGGAACAAAGTCCACCTGCCAGGTCAAGCCTGAAATAAGTGAAATAAACTCTTCAAGGTACAAAGCATAAGCGTTTGGAAATGTGGGGCTTCCTAATAAAATTTTTATTGAACTCCTGGAACATAAAAACCTTTCTGAATCTGGATGTCTCTGTCTTGACAGGCAGTTTTGACTTACACACCCGTGGACAATAACTCTTAAGTACGGTGCTTGCGAAATTACAGCAGCTCAGAAATATTTTTCAGTGCATGAATGACTGTTCATTCACAATGAGTGGATGAACAATTCAGTGATAGTATGCCCATTAGTGACACAGGTGGTCGGCACCTACCCTCCCTTAACATGGTGGTATTTCAGCCAGGAAAGACCTTCACATGGTATTTCAGTGAGGAGAGACTAGAAAAGGAATCCTTAGAAGGACATAGAAGATTGACTGGTGTCTAAAGAAACATGCTTAAAGGAATCTCATTAATATAAATGCTCACTACATTCCATGCCTATGACTAAGAAGACATCTCATGGAACACTCACTTGAGCTACCACTGCAGGAGGGGAGGGGGGCAGCAGGGTACAAACATCAACAAGGTGTTCTGCAAATTCTCACCCCTCACTGCGCTGCCTCTACCCAGAAAACAGGGCCTCAATCACGATGTCAGCATTTCCCTGGTTCCAGAAAATCATGTGCCTGTGTTTTATTTTTATTTTTATTTTTTTTGATGTGCACAACTCCTCTGTTTTATTTTATTTTATTTTTTTAATATATTTTACTGATTTTCTTACAGAGAGGAAGGGAAAGAGATAGAAAGCTAGAAACATTGATGAGAGAGAAATATCGACCAGCTGCCTCTTGCACACCCCCTACCGGGGATGTGCCTGCAGCCAATGTACATGCCCTTGCCCGGAATCAAACCTGGGACCTTTCAGTCCGCAGACTGATGCTCTACCACTGAGCCAAACCGGTTTCGGCCAAACTCCTCTGTTGTGCCCTATGGCCGCAGAACTTATTCTCTGTGCTGAATGAAGGAATGATGTTTCCTGAAAGCTACCTAATGCTACAGAGCATAGTCCCAGTGATGAAGCCAGGAACTCGCCAAGAAACTTGCATTTTGAAATGACTGGAAATGGAAGTGCCATGTGGCAAGATATAGCAATCCATGGCCCGGGGTCACCTGCTGGCCCTGTGGATTCTACCACATGTGCCTCCCTCCTGGTTAAAGAAACTCACCGCAGTGCAGAATGCCTTCCGGAGCGGGACACACTGTTGCCCACGGGGGAGGGCAGGTTGCTGCCTCTGTGCAGGTCCTCGATGGACCTACTCCAGGGCTTTGATTTGTCCACCGAGCTCTCCACGGTGCTTTCCACGCTGTCAAAGTCAAAACTGAAACAAAAGAGAAATGCCACGAGAGACTTAGAGATTCACATTCACACAAACACATGGATGTGCATAACCTATTCCTTTCATATGTCTGCACCTTAATCTGGGTAGTCTTTGCAAACAAACAAAAACTAAAAGGGAAATACAAAAGAATGTCCTTGTACTCCGTGGTAGCTTCGTAAATACAGAATGACAAATACTGGGCCAGGCAAAGTAGCTGAACAGCAGCAAAAAACTAAATAGTGATGTATCTGCATTTTACTATAAAGTTTGCTAGCTTACCAATTGCCAACATTGCTCAGATGGGAGGTGGGGGAGGGTGGAATCGTACAGATGTCTTCATTTTGCTTTAACACGTCAATATGTTGGGCTTATACTAATTTATTCCTACCCATCAATTTTCACTGCGCATTTTCTCCTAGTGTGTTGGCAAGTGTGCTTTTCCAACCATATGTGATACATTACTTGCAAACTTATGAATTTGCTTTGATTTTGGAATAGCTTCCCAATGTGGTGCTCTTTAAAGCAGGGCTGTTGTTTCTCTGACATTTCTGAGGTTATTACTCATGTTAACCATGTTAGAATGAATGGCAAGTTAAGTCACTCGGTCTTGTATAATTTTAGGGGCAGCATCTGTTTTAAACAGACAGATCTCTGAGTTCTATGTATTTTCCCCTCCCAAAGTCAGAAGCTCTGCTTCCTCCAAAAAAGTATTTTATCAATTGTTTCTACCCATAGTTCCACCAAGCAACACCTGATCAGATAAGAGAATAAACAGAAGGCAGCTAAAATTAATATCATCTGGAAGATCTTGGAGGCTTTCACACAAGAAACAGCACCAATACATATTGGAAATAATGAGCATGACTTTTTATGAAGAATTATGACTTTTATAAGAAGTACGATGGCCAATAAAATATTTGGTTAGAACAGTCATCTGTAAACCAGGTGATGTTCTCCATCTATTAAGTATTAATCCAGATGTCACAGGCTGGTATATATAATGGCACTGACTTGGTCTGACAATTCTGTCGTGCCTTAGGATTCAGGAAACACTGCTGAACAGAAAAGAGGTGGGAGCTGAGACATTAAATAGATCTTTGAGTACTAAAAATAGAAGTCAATAATTGAGATAGGAGAAGGTAAGCCGAGGGGACATTCCAAGTTCGCTCAAGTCTGCCCCACTCTCGCCAAGTCTCTCTGCAGCCCCCACACCATTCAGCTGTCCAGCTCTCACATTCCTTTCGGCTGGTCTCAGCTCTCACACGGCAGCAAAAGGAACCACCACGGTGAAAGCTTGTGCTTTCGGGATGGAGCCTGAGCCCGCTGTTTCACATTCTGTGGGCTAGGAAGTTGTCACATGCCAAAGAATAGCAAGAAATTTTCCAGCCCATTAGCTTCAAGAAAGAACATAAATTGTGTGTCTCTGTATAATTTGTCATCTAATTAATGCAAAAGAAAACCAAAACTAATCAGCACAAATGTGAAGGCAATGCAAAAAGAAAAAAAGAAAAAGCAGATTGGGAAGCAAAAGCTCTGAGTTCTGATCTTTTGTTGGGTTTGATCTTCTGCCACAGAGGAGAATTCCCTCATGGTGGCATGGCCTTTTCCCGTGGGTTTTATGTAAGGTACATTTGGGAAAGCTGGTTCCAAAGCTCCATTGTGATATAGAAAAAAGGTCAATTCAGCAAACATATAGCACAAAGCATACCATTATTCCTGAGGGTTCTCACTTCCTTAATTCCATACATAATCTTCCAGATTATAAAATATGCAACAGAGTACTACTATTGGTTTGTCATATGATATGAAGAGCAAAAGGAGATTACCATAGCAGTTGTGATATAGTGGAGATAAGAAACAACCTTTGGGAGAGTATTTTATTAAAAACTAAGATTATATTTCAGAGGACACTTTCTCAGGAAGTGTGTTTTGGTTTTTAGTACTCTATTCCATATATTAAAGTTACCAAAGCTGAAACTCATCAAGCCAGTTTCAGTTAATTCTTTAGTTTCTGCATCTATAAGGCAGGGATAATAATTTGAGAATTTCTCTTCACAAATTCTCAAGGAAGTGATAAGGATAATGAGATAAAATAGTATCTGGTTAGGTCTTAAGACTTTATTGGAGTGAGGCAATATAAAAACAAAAAAACAAAAAACAAGTGATTGAGTTTAAAAGAATTGAGGGGGTGGGGAAGAGAAATAACACCTGAGCCATAATGTCTCCTGGTAAATTAAAAATACAATACTATTTCCTCAAGATGTGTGAGAGCATATCTGTGAGCACAGAAATATTTTTTGATTCAAGGAGGAAATGTGGAGAATAGAATATCTTATTCAAATGTACTTTTCATTTCTGTTGTAAATCTTTCCAGAAGCGAAGTGAATAGGAAAAGTTTACGAATGAAGAAAAACTAGGTTAAATAAGTTACTTTTTTCCTTCTTTGCTCAACCTTTGTCCCCTTCACCTTTATGAAAGGCAAGTCCATACAAATGCATAAAAATAAAAAGGGCAAGACTCTTGTTCACCACTTCCAGCCTGCTACTCATTTCTATATTCACTCCCACATGCTAATACACATATATATGTAATTTATTAAAACAAAAAGGGAGTCACTCTCCTGTATCTTGCTTTACTCACTCAACATATATCACACACCTCTCTCAGGGAGTGCTGGAGTATTCTATCTTATGGATATCTGTGACTTGAGCACTAAACACAGTTCTTTTTAAAATAAGGACTCTTCAAGAGTAATTTTTATTCTGTTTTTACTTCTGCCATAAAAGCATTCCTAATAACAATTATGGGATTTGCTGTTAGCCATTTGAATAGAAACAAGCCTCCTCAGACCAGGGCACATCTGCTTCTGGTTTCTCTGGCAGCGCAGGGTGGAACCATACCACTGAGCTGCATCTTCTGTGACCACATAAAACGCAGGAGGAACAAGCCAAGTTTTACTTACGTTACCGCGTACTGCGCAAACGACAGATACTCCACCAGGACATCGAGGCCTTTGTTTTCTTCATTCAAAAACTCCCTGACCCATCTGTTGGGGAAAAAAAAAAATTATGGGGGAGATACGTCACATGCTCTGCCACAAAAGGCCACGGTGAAAAGCTTTTGATTTTCCACCACAAACCTTCATCGCCCGAAAGGAAAGCGGTCACTAAGGAAGCCTAGACTCTACCACACCAGGCAGGAGCTGTCGGATAGAGCCACCAAGAACTCCGCCACATTTCGATGTGCAAGAATAGGGGACCGAAGGCATCTGTGGGCCTTCTTGGAATTTTGCTGCTTAAGAGACTTAAGAGAACCCCTAAGAAACTTTCTAAAAAAAGGCACTTGCTAACTGTACTTTTTTCCACCATCACTGGTCCCCAGCCCGCTGGCTACAGGAGCCAAGACTGCACGGGGAGGGAGGGAGGCAGACAGGGCACATGACGACATAACCACTGAAATCCAGGAGCGAGGCCAAATCCACATTCAACTCTTTTCTTGGCACCCGAAGCTGCAGAAAGAGCTCAACCGGCCAATGAGAGGCCCGTGTTTATGGGCTTCTGGAAATTTGATAGGGATGGCTTGCTTAACTTTTTCCACGAACGTTCAAACCTTTCAAGAAGTTGCAGACACCGCATACCATCATCAGAGTTGAGACGTGACAAATATCATGTTTTTCAAAAATTCTTTTGAAAATAGAGATCACCTTGCATTTGAGTGGTGGGTATGAATGCAGTTCACTGGTTGTTGTTTTTTGGTGTGTTTTTTTTGTTGTTGTTGTTGTTTTTTTACAAATTTGTATTCATTTTTCATAATCGTTCCAAGAGATGAAGTCAGCTGGTCACACAGAACTCTTAGGTACTGGAGATAAACAGCTGTTGCCCCACCTTACAGGATTCCCCAGGGTATCCGTCATCAGAAAACATGGGATACCCTATTAAGCCTTCACTAGATTGGAAACTCCAACAAATAATACCTGCTCCTGTCACAGAAGTGAAACAAGATACATCGGCCAAGGGCATTCCAAAATGGTTGCCTCTTCCATGCATACCCACCCACAAAGCCTAGCAGGCGTGGGCACAAGAGCGACCACAGGAGCTGGTGAACCACTGACCAATCCTACCATGTGTCCTTAAGGATGAGCAACCCCTTGAGGTCTCAGTCTTAAAAGAAGAAAAAAAATCTGAACTCAAGATGCCTGCTTTCTATTTTTGTTTTTTGGAGGGTATTTTCTTTGTTTTTCTTCTATCCTCACAGTTCATTCTTCCTTTAAAAAAAAAAAAAAAGTGTGTTTTGTTTTTTAATTGATTTGAAAGGAAGGGAGAGGGACAGAGAGATAGAAACATCAATGATGAGAGAGAATCATTGATAGGCTGCTTCCTGTATGCCCCGCCCCTACTGGGGATCAAGCCCACAATCCGGGGCATGTGCCCTGACTGTGACCGCCGGGTTCATAGGTTGATGTTCAGCCACTGAGCCATGCTGGCTGGGCCATTCTTCCGTTTAGTCCCACCCTCTCCAGGATGGAAACTCATGTCTGTAGGTGGTCCCACTGGACAGCAAGGTGGGGAAAAAAGATGCTGGCCTCAGATTTTCCCGCAACAGCCTCGGGCAGACTATCACAAAATGCATGCATTTAGCATAGCCACACGCAAGCACGTAACATTTAATTTGCAAAAGACCTGGCGTGGCAACCCTGGCAAGGAAACACACCACCACTGGGCCCCACCAAGTGGCTCTGTGATGGCAGCTTACCCAAACGAACAGGGCCAGCTGCTGGTCAGGGCCGAAGCTTCATTCCAAAACCACCGCACACCCAACCTCACGGCATTTGCTACTAGATACTTATTTTCATTGGATTTATTTTAATTGGTCCCTACACAAGTAGGCCTCAGGAGAGAGTGGATTTTTTAAGCACTGATCATTAGAAACTTGGAAATAGCAACAGAATTTTTTTTTTCTTTTTACAACTGGTAGGAGGAGACTAAAGAAAGGCTAAAAGTCACTATGAAAATCAGATGACTAGCTACAAACCCCTTGGCTTCTTGATCACACCCTCTGAACAGGCTCCCGGAGTGGGTCACAGCAGGGAGCCCCAGAGCTGGGCGTGGGGGTCATCTATATACAGGAAATGTCACCAACAGATCCAGGTTTTCCAGGGCAGTCTCGGCTCTCCATAGCCTCAGTGGCCACAGGGAATACTCTAATGTAGGAGTTGAGAAAAACAGCCACATAGCCTGCTGGTTGACTTTCCAGATGCAGCCTCTAAAAGAATAGAGCTGGTCCAGGACACTTGGAGGACCAGTCATTGCCTCAACCACTGTCACAGCCATCTCGCTTGAAACTTCGGCTGCACAGTTAGACAGACGTGAGCAGAGCAAGGGCGATGGGGCAGGTTCAGAAGGCCAACCAGGCATCGGACAAAGCTGGGAAAACAAGGATCTTTCATATTGCTAGTCATGCAGGGCAATGAGGTTCTGACCCACGTCAATACATATGGCCTCAGTTGTGCTTCAGCTCCAGGTCCAGAAAGGCAGGGAAACAGACAAGTGAGGCCAGGGCTGGCAACAGGATCGATGGGCTGCATTGATTCATGACCAACCAATCAGTGGAGACCATGAACGGAAAGGGCACACCTGGAAAGTTGATGAATATTCTATTGGGATCCTCCCCTGAACCTTACAGATAAATACCCTCAAGACAAGATCCAGTGCCTCTCTCTCCTTCCCCACCCCCACTCCTGAGCAGTAGTTTTCTAGCCTCTCCCTTTCTCCTAAGCTCCAAGGGCCCTTCTTTCACCTGTGTAGCTTGTTTCCTGAGCCCATGTCTTCCATGGCTCACTTTTCCTACCTTTGTTACTTCAAATAAATTTTCCCTTATCGTTTGAAGACAAAACAAAACAAAACAAAACAAAAAAACAAAAAAAAAAACAATGGAAAAAACATTCAGCCACAAACTGGATAGGAGGCAAATGACTCAGAGATAATGAGTTAAAAAAAAAAAAAGGGGGGGAGAGAGGAAGAAAGGAAAGAAGGTAGGAAATAGCCAAGCACAGCCAGAGCTCAATTCTCTTGACTCAAAATGCTAATATGCATATAGTCTGATGCAAGGATAGACTATTAATTAGCTTCCCCCCAACTCAAGGTTCTTATCAATACCTCTACTCCCACTTGATGACTTTAAGCAAAAGTGCCTTGAAAACAACTTTCACATTGAAAGGCAGGAGCCAGCAGCTCAGTTCCTAAAGAGCAGCAGAGGGTACCATGTCCTGCCTCAGAGACTTCACCTCATGCAATCAACCTCTTTCTAAACTGCAAGATCTGCCCTGGGTCTCAGGTCTGGCCCAGGCACGCCTAGGTGACTTAGGAAATAAAATAAAAGTATATCATGGTTGATTATCTTACCCCATTAGTCAAATGATATCACGTCAGTAAACTCATTTCAGAAAAAAAAAAAAAAAAAAAAAAAAAAGAGGCTATAAACAGCCTTCACTTCACTTTTCCCTGTTCTCTCAATCCCTGTCCCTTCCACACTGGGGATATTCTGAACAGAAGAAAACACAGGTGAGAGTGAACTTCTGTGGAAAAGAAAGAAGATGAAAGAAACAGGAAATCATGAAATAAAGGGCAACTTTCAAAGCAGTATCTTGAATCTGAAGACATAAAAAAAATGGATATCCCATTCTGCAGATTTATGTAAATACTAATAATCAACAATGAAATAGCACGAATGTTGAGTTCCTGTAGTCAATTTCCACTTTCACCTCTGTGCATGCTGCACACATTTTGTTTTATTTATTACCAATAGGCAAACAGTTTCAAATTGGGTAATGATAGGTTTTGAAAAGCAGAATTATTTCTGACTCTGATAGCATGCATCACGTACTAAGCACCTCACAGATTCACTGTAATTACCACATGCTGTAAAAGTGAATTAGGCAAATTTCCAATCAGCTGCTCAGGAGCCAGAAGAGACGTGGACAAGAAAAATAGCTCCAGAAAAAACCTTCCTCAAGGACGAGATCTAAGTGCAGGTGCCAGGAGCTACTGTTGTATTGTCTACAGGTCAAAGCTTCCTTTCCAAGTTGGTGTTTTCTACCTGCGCACCCCACACTCTCCCCCCCAAAAAATCTTAAACCTCATTATTCTATCTAGAGACACAAGATAAAGGAACAAAGCATGAATTCCCTTTGCCAGTCTCCACATAAGGCCCATAAAATCATTTGGTCTGGCCCCGCCAAGGCATTAGGGGTGAGTTAATTAAATGTTTGACCAAATATAGCAAGCTAATTTTTAAGTGGACGACTTTATATAGCTTGCATATGATGTTATAAATATCCAAATGGCCCTTGGCAGAAAAAAGGTTCCACACAGGCATGGTGAATTGCAGTGGCTAAAAAATCATGGGGGGGGGGGGGGGAGGGGGGGAGTCCAAGAGAGAGAAGATAAGCATCAACCTGATTCATCATTAGCTACCAAACCTAGGAGACAGTGTCACAAACTGGTTCTCAAAGGATAGCCCGCACACCACTAGGGGTCCCTGTGGCCCTCCCAGGGGTTAGTGGGGCTACAAGAATTTTCATACAAATAGTAAGAAAGTAGTTATTTTTGTCACTATGCTGACATTTGTACTGATGATAAAAAAGAAATGTGGGTGGCCTGGCCGACAGGGGTCACTGGCTGAGCACCGAACTATGAACCTGGAGGTCACAGTTCAATTCCCTGTCAGGGCACAGGCCCGGGTTGCGGGCTCGATCCCTAGTACGGGGCATGTAGGAGGCAGCCGATCAATTATTCTCTCACATCACTGATGTTTCTATCTCTCCTCCCTCTCTCCTCTGTGAAATCAATAAAAATGACATTTTTAAAAAAGAAAGAAGTGTGGATAAAACTGCCACTAGAGAATACAACTGTTTATTTTATTCTTCATCCCATGCCGTTGGGAGGATAAAAGTTAGCGTCATTTTACACTGCCTTAGGAAGGCAATACAATTCTTGATTGCATTAAGGCTTCCTCCTTCTACATACATCTTGAATTTTCTGTGTGGCA